GAATCTGCCCTGAAATATCTGTAGTTTTCCTGATCACCATTTTTTTCTATTTCTCCTTTCTCACAATCTTTTTCTCCTACCCTACTCCCTACACACTGCTGTCATTTTAATAGTATGTTTCCAATACCATACCGATTGCAATGCGAGAAAAGATGAGAATAGCCAAAGCGATTCTTAATTAAGACGACCATTTAGTCACCTACAGTATAAGCAAATTATTTTTCTTTATATGTGCCCATATAAACTGTAAAGATTTGGATCCCTGAATATATAGAAACCCTCACACTGCATTCTTCCATCGAACATAAAGTTGGGAGTTATACAAATATATTAGTGTGTTTGGTTAGTATCCTACAAAAACTTCCCATGAGTTTTAGATTGACTAAACCTTGTAAATTGTAAATATGTCTCTATGTTCTGAATATAGAAAAAAGCATAACAGAGACGCAGTGATTATAAAAATACTGTAAAATAATGGTTTTCAGAGATTGCAACCATACAGTCAAATACCAGTGGGAAGATTAGACAGTAGAAAATTAGAAGGAGAAAAGAAAACAGAGAGGACTGAGATGACCAGATCTACTCCCCGTGTTTTCTTTGTCCTTTTGTTTTCTAGGAATTTAGCAGAAATGTGAAGGTTCAGTGGTAACTGAACACATTTGGATGCATAATCAGAAAAGTGGAATGTATTTTTGGAGCACACCTAACTTGGAGTGTCCAACACTTATATATAGTATACACACAGTGGAGTTTGCATACACAGAATGAAACCAGACAGTCTTGTCCAAACTGAAACATATTTTGTAATTATATAATTTGAAAAATCAAAGCTTCATAGATGTATGCATTTACATGCAATGTGGTATATGAAGGTGACAAATAATGTACCTTTATTTTCCAAAGGCAAAATTTTCTCATCTCACAAAAGCAACCCACAGCAACAGAATCCATTTCAGCTGCAAACTGCAGGCTTGATGGGTATATAGTTTAAATATCATGCTGTTCCTTTTTTAAATTGATTTTTTTGAACCATGAATTTATTTTGCTGTTTTTCTATCACATTCATTTGTATGAGTGTCGGTGCAAAGGCGAAGGAAAAAACAGTATTTCGGTATCTGTAGCGGTCTGAAAGCAAAGTATTTTTGCCATCCAAGGAGTGAACTGCAGTGAGAAATCCAGACTGAAGGCACAGATGTGTTCATTACCAGCCAGCCTTCACTGCCCAGGTACCGCGCCTCGCTCAGGAGCCTGTTATACCCCGAGGTTCTCTGTTGCAGATGCTTATGATAAGCCACTGGGAGAGTAAATATTGACAGGCAAATATTAAATTCTTCTCTGAAATTCATTCCATCCAGAAAAAAAAACAGACCCAGCATCGTTTCCTCTTGCCTTCCTTGCTTCCCCAGTTAACCTTCCCGGCGTTCCAGCGCGGATTTTAAGGGAGCAGAGCGTTGGGGTGGAACGCGCCCCTCGGCACCCCACGCCTGCAGCTCAGGGCCTCTGCACGGCGAAAGGGACGGGGACACCCAGCATGTGCAGCACCTTGTGCTGTTCCCTTGGGCCGGGCGACACGCAGCCACCTGCTTTGGCGTGTGGCAGCTGGTGGGAACGGGGCTTTGCGTGGCTCTGGCCCTCCCCTTGAGGGGCTAAACCCTCCCCATAAAATCTTGTCAGCGTTCCGGCTTCAGGCACAAATGTCCCTCTAGCAGCGATTTCTAAACTGAAAGGGAAACTCTAAATGCAATGAACCTCTCTACTAGTCCTTTGTAGAGGTCAGATTGTTGTGGGGTGAAATTTCCAACGGTTCTTTCCAGTGTCTGTTTTTAGAAAATACATTTTTAAATTTTTGCACAGCAACAGTGACTGTTTGTCTGTCTTTTATTGGAAAACTTACAGACCTCTGATTTTGATGGATTTGAGGGGACAGGTCTGGTTACTGATTTTTTTAACTTGTAACAATGGGAATATTAGCTACTCACATTTGGTAATGTTTTCCTTTCCCGCCTTGCCAAATAAACGGCTGGGAACTGCACGAGAGCCTTAATACCATGTCAGTTATTACACAGAAACACTCCCGCTACTCGCAACAAGTGTGAGAGTTCATCTAATTAACTGATTTCAGTTCATTTGGCATTAAATAATTCCCAGAACTCCCTTATGTTTGTCCAATATGTTCTACAAGGGGAATGAGTCTCTAAAAGCGATTAAACAGCCCCTTGCAGACGAGCTTGTCGCTGGTCACGCACACGCGGCCGGCCGTTGTGCAGAGTGACCCTGGAAAGCTGCCCGGGGCTGCCACAGAGCCTACGCCGTTTCAGTGACTCTGGCTTTTTCTTTTTGTTTTCAAATTATTCTTTTCTTGTTTTAATGAGGTGAGTGGGAGGGCGTGTGGCAGACTACAGTCAGTCTCCCAGTCACCTTTTGCATCAACTTTGCTAGGCTGCTCGCAGGACTCCCCTACCACTATGGACGTTACTGCTTTTTGTATTTTGTAGATTCGTGTTTTGTTTCATTCTTGATGCTTGAAAAATTGGAGCTATTTCTGATGGGGATCATCACCCGGAGCATGGCTAAAAGTTCTGGATTCACATCTTCTAAGGGTGTTGTGCTAAAACCAAAATAACCTCTATTGTGCTCCCATTATTGAAGATGAATTGTCAAGCTTTGTACTGGAGGTAACTTCAGTAAAATTCCACCATCACCCCACCCTCCCCGTGTTTATGCATTTGTCAGCAGCAGCCGCTTGGCAAAGGATGGCCGTGTTGGGAGAGAGGGAGGATGGAAATGCACCGACCAGGTTAGGTAAGGAAGGTTTGACTGGTGCTCTGGCAGTGTGCTCTTGTTACCCCCCGCCTGCAGCTGCATCAAAACAGAGGTGAGGAGGCAGAACGCGCCGGCCTTTGCCGAGGTACAGAGGAGAGGAATCATATGAACTGAATTAACTTACTGAAAATTAAATATGTTTAAAAGTTGACTTGAGGGTTTCTAATAATTCTGAGACATTCTTCTTTGTATTTGTAAGTAACTAACTGGATGATTTCTTAAATTAGCTGGAAAGAGAGGTGATTTGGGGTAACTGCCAGAAGGTTTCATTTTTAAGGAAATCAAATGCCATTTGTAAAGGGTAGCAGTGGTTGGTTGTTAAGTGATGGCATTTTGTGCAAAACCTGTTTTCCTAGCAATGCAGGAGTTGTGAAAAATTGTTATTCATAGGCATAAGCAGAAGCAAGTTGTTTTTTGCTTGAGCTGTTTGATTTCAGCGGATCTCACGTGTCTCTCACGGCGGTGAGATGCTTTGCTGCAGCGAGGCCTGCGAGCGCTGCCTGCTCTGTGCTCTCCGCTCCTCCCTCCCTCCAACGCACTCGCTGCTGAAGGCGGCATGGCAGCCAGGGCACAGGCTCCGGTGGGGCTTTGATTTTTTTTTTTTTTAGCCTAAGAACCCTACAAACACTTCGGAGCACCGAGGCTTCGGGAGCGTTTATTATTATGACACTTGCAAAAGGAAAAGCGGAATTGGCCTTTTTTGTTAGCGTGTTTCATCTTCACTTCATCTCACGAATACTTGCACGTGTAGTCTTTAGTAAGGGATGTCACTGAAGTTGTTGGAACTTTTCAAGCCTTTAGCAAGAATGGTGGTTTTTAACTGCACGTTCTGAGCACCTGCTATTACAGCTGTCCTGAGAATGCTCCCCCCAGGTGATGTTAGGTGGATGTGCGAAGTCAGTTTGCAGGATTGGAGTCTGATTTAAGTGCAGGGCTCCACATAAGTGGCCCTGTGCGAGAGCCACCTGCACTTTAACGTGTTGACCCCGTCGGCTCGGGTGACCGGGGGCGTCGCGGGGGAGCGGGGGCCGGGCTGCTGCTGCGAGGCGCTGCCGGGCAGTGTTCCCGTAGGCTGTGACGGGGAAATGCATAAACAGGGATTTCCCCCTTGTTTGTATCTTGGTTTTATTGTTGTATCTCCTTATTTATGTCTTGGTTGAGGTTCTCCCCCTTATTTTTATCATGGAAACACCATTTGCTTTAATTTTAAGAGTGAACTACATGTCCAGGAATATAGAAGCCAAAAATGGGGATTATACAACCCAGATGAAGGATTACAGTGTAAAAAAACAAAACAAAACAACCCAAAACCACCAGGGCAAGATGTTTCAGTTGCCAGTATTGATGTCTACAAAGTGAGTCTCACCCACTTTGTCAGTGGTTCTGTACAGGCATTTATCATGACAGGTACAGCAAACATATCTGTGTGGGACAGGGTTAAATTTGGGTTTGAATGAAAGAGAAGAAAAGAAGATTCTTGTCAGATACTTCATCTTTAGAATTTAGCAAGCAGTTAATCTAACCAAACGTCAGTGATTACATTGAGATTAGATGACTCCCTAGGCTTCAGTTGTGCCGATGGGATCTCCGTTGACTGTACGGGAGCCCGTGTGCACGTGGCTACTTTGCCGAGTTCTGAATTTAAGGAAAGGAGTCCTGTCCCTGCTGGCTGCTGTGAGTTACCTAGCCGGCTCAGTCTGCAGAATACAGATGTGTTTTCAAACCAGGGAGATCACACTCGATCTGGAAAAATCTATGAGACTGTGTTTTTAAACGATAATTTGTTTTATCTTCACTACTGTGAAAATATTGTTGATGACAGGCTTTGAAGGCAGAATTAGATGGTAATACTACCAGCTGGTGCATAAAGCCGGGCTTACTTGCATAGAGTAATTTTAGTGTTGTATTTAGTTAAGCAAATTGAAATGTATTTTAAAGACCAGAATCCTAAACTGACCAGCCAATGATGTGAGTAGAAGTGGCCTAATAGTTTTGTTTCATCTCCTGCTTCTACGTGAAAATTAGCACGGTAATTGGCTTGCTTATCCTTTTCTGTAATGGATCAGTAAGATACTTAGATTCTAACTGGAATATTTTAAAATTTGCAGTTAAAGTAAAATTTCACTCCTTTTTAATAAGAGCCTGACAGATGTTAATGCCTTCTCCTCCCGCCAAAGCCTACAGCCAGAAGGCACAGATGTTCTTCTAGGACCAGAAGTAACTTGTGGGCCTGCAGATTTCTGTGTCAGCACTCCCTTTGCCTTGACAATACCACACTGCGCAGAAGTAAATTCAGAGCACTGGAATATTCACTTGAAAAAAAGGACACAGCAAGGAAAATGGGAGGTAAGTTTAGACTTCTGCTCCCACTAAAAGGTTGTACTAATGATGGAAACGTGATTATTATTCATGCAGGTGCAGGTCAAAGATTATCTAAGTGATAGACACTTTAGAGAAACAATTTTAAAAAAAAGGATTTTGCATTTTGTTAAGAAGCAGCTAAACTGGTTTATTTTAACCAAGATGTGCAAAAAAGGGTCAACTTTATGATCTAGCCCATGTGACAAGAGAAAGTATTCATTTTCTCAGGTCACTTAATAATGCAGCCAGTAGCCATTTATTTTTAAAACCCCTGTTTTCGTAGATCATAGCTCCCAAAGAGACTCAGGTCAGAACAGATAATTATATACATGTAAGAATTTATCATGACAGAAAGTTATGGAACTGGTTAAAAATATACACTTCAAGTTTAATTTTTTTTTAACCTAGAAAGATCCTCCTGATTTAAAAATCTTGTGTCTCTGTACATGTCATTTTAGTGGGCATTCAGTGATCGTGCTCTGCTCATAACCTCTGAAGGATTAGTGTACATTAAATGAAATATTTTGCTTTCTTAGATGAACATGTATTTTCTTATCCTGATTTACTGGGGAATTTAAGCTTTGTGCATTCCTGACATGCGCGTTTGATCATGTGTGTCTGTCCACCTGCGTTTTTTAAGCCCACTGGCCATCTTCAACTGAAACTGCTTGGTAGGCAGCCGTCTCCAACATCCTAAACTTTCCGCATCATTTGGAGAGACAGCCTACTAATAATACTCTGGCTAAAGCATGCACCAAACTGCTCCTCAACATTACAGAAATCCACCCAGGATAGAAAGGTGCTGAATTTCCCAACTCTAAAGCGTTCACCGTACATGTTACTAGAACCGCAGAACCCAGTAACCAGACACAAATCCATAGTCAATCAGATTTTATTGCACTGCTGCTGCTGGAGCAGTTGGGCTGACTGCAGTGTGAGGGGAAAAAAACAGTTGAAACGTTCATGGACACCGTAACTCACTCTGTCCTTTCCCTCCTTTAAATCCCTGTGTTGTTTGGTGCTCTCGTTTAAACCATTTCACGTTCAGCTTAGTTTTCCTACTTGCACTCAGTACTCAGTGAGCTCCCTCGGTGCTGGTTACAAACACCCTGGAATTAATGAGGAGTGTAACAGCAGCCTGTAGGCTGCTCAGATACCTCGTCTAATGACGCTGTAACGCAGAACTAAGCATGAAAGGCAAAAGAGTGGGATAGGTAGTTTTTTAATGAAGGTAAACGTAACTGTAATGGATGTTCTGAAAGAAAGTCAAATACCAACTATTGTTCAAGGTTTGCTTATTGACTGCAAACTTCAAGGTTATTTCTTAACATGACTTTGGGATAAAAATTAGCTAGAAAGTCAAGAGCACTTGAAAAAAGATGTTAAAATTGTTTTCGCATCATCATTATTATTATGTGCTGTACACATTGAATTCTGCACAATGCATTCCATAAATCCTGTTGCTGACTCAGGGCTAAATTGGGAGTATTTACCCCATATAGGTAGTCTACCTTCTCCCCTTCCCTGAGGTCAACGTGAGCAAAGAGCATGCAGACTGGCTCTCAAAAATACTTTTGCATACCACTTGAATAAAAATAAACAAATAATGTCATGACTCCTATTGTCAAGGCGTATTGATTTTATTATTTTATTTTTTTTTTAAACCTGAATTTCATTTTGCAGGAAGTGATGTCTGTGGAAGAGGAAACTACTTCTTGCTACTGCCTGTTGGATCCTTATGCCTGTCACATTCTCTTAAACAGCTTTGGAACTTATGCTCTTATTGGAGAACCGATCTCTGACTGTGCCGTTCGACAGCTGAAAGTAGCGGTTTTTGGCTGCCTGTCTTGCAATTCTCTGGATTACAATCTGAGAGTATATTGTATGGATAACACACCTTGTGCATTTCAGGTAAATGGTTTCACTTCCTTAATTTCATTTTAGTTATCTTTCCATAGAATACGAACATTCCTTTATTCCTGGGGATAGTCCCTTGGCAACAGCAACAGTCCAGAACTCAAACAGATGAGAATACCGTATTTTTTAATGCCACTGCTGCATAACTTAGGATAAGTAAGTCCCTTAATTTCTCTGCACTGTTGTTTCACTTGTGGATTTACGCTGCAAGAGCTTTCGGGCAGCCAAGCTGCCTCTTCATTTTTTGCCAGGAAGATGGGAACCCACTCTGCCCACATTCTAGACTGACCAAAAATCACGTAGCCACGGTTAACCCAGCGCAAAGCTACACCTGATAAGCAGAGAGAGTTAGGCTGGGCTCAGGGCCCTGGCTACTGCATGGCACAGGCAGAGCTTGCCTGCATCTGGAGCGGAGTGCTGCTCCACTGCAAGCAGAAAATGTAAGTCATTATCATTTGATGTATAGTATTTATCATGCTCATTACCCTTACACTGTCATTAGTCAGTTCAGGATTTCCTCTCCTGTTTACAATTTGAGCAAGAAGAAGGAGATTGCCTTACCATTTTTTTAAACAAAAACTTAATTAGAATCGTGCGTTTCCCCTTTTTTTTTAAAAAAAAAGAAAAAAGAACACAAAACAATCCCCAAGAGGCAATTAAAATTAGCATGATTTTGCTACATGGTATTCCAAGACGAAACAATGAAATTCACTGGCTTTTGCAGCCTTAGTAAACTCAGAAGCTCTAGCAAAATGGTTTTCTTTTGGGAACTGAAATGAAGACAGTTATGACAGATGAATTTTATTTCCTTTTCCTATCGTGCAGAATAGAAACATGAATCTTAATGAAGCACGCACTAATGTCTGTTTGCTTCCAATAAAAGCAAAGCCACTGAAAGGATTGTTAACGACTTACAATAGCTTTGTAATTATACCCTTTATAACACTCACACAATTCGTGGGCTACCAGTATTTTCCTGGATGAGTCTGTAGAAAATTGTAGGAAGAATAATTACCAGTTTTCCATATTCACAGAAATTAGGACAGGGTGTTTGTACATAATGAGACAACTGTATATTTATGAAATTATACTTCCCTTAAAAGCATACTGCATCAACTTCATGCCTATTGTAAATATTAAATGGGGAACGTGGAAAATACGGATTATTTTTTTAATAAAGTATTTGAGTTGGGCTTACCAAGTTTTGTTTGACACTGTTAAGCCTTTACAGTGCAGTCCTGTATAAGATATGAAGTTCCTTGATTTTTAACTTTGTCCCTGAATGAGACCTTACCTTACTTTTCTAACAGATGACTTTGCCCTTTATGCAATTCCTAGCACGTTGGGAAACTCTTGGCTCTCAAACTTTAAGAGAACCAAGCCCTTTGTATTTTGCATTTTGCCATCCTCCTGCTGACGCTTGTGGAATTAAGGACTGTAAGCATTATTAAAAGTAGAGCACTATTTATACCACATTGGTACATTTAAAAAAAATTCCAACACATTCAGGGAATTTTGAAAATAGTTATGAAACAAGCTACTCCCTTTGCAGTAGACAATCGAAAACTAAAAGTCTCCCTTTTTATTCCTTCTTTCCTATAAACGCAGCCATCAGGAGTTAAAACAAACTGAATGCCTGTAAATTGGTTTATAATAGAAATCTGTTATTATAGTTTCAGAAAGCTCTAGCAGTCCTATTTTCAGAAGGTCACAATGATTCCAGTAACTCTTCCAATAATAACTTTTCTACTGACAAGCACTAAACCTCTTTAATGTGTGCAGATTTTATATCATTTATGTGGATTAAAAATGGTAATTTTGAAAGACTGCTTGCTAGCTGATTTTTAAAGACTTCTGCAAGCTTTCCTTCCTCACTAGTATTTTTACTGTAACAGTACAGGAATGAACATTGTGTAAGTACAGGCAGAGGTGATTTTTTTACTATTATGTTTTAAATTCACATAATTATATAAAAATTGAGATTAGAACAGACCTCCAGAGGGGCTGTAGTGCAAATCCCTGCTCTAAGTCAGCCCTTCCCAAATGGTTTAGGGTCTTGTCCAGTAATTCTGAAAATGTCCAAGGGAGAAGAAATGAAACCGAAGCGTTTTGTCTGAGGAGTACACTTGGCGAGTTTCCTTTCTTTAAAGTCCTGAGAGCGCTTTCTCACCCAAACTGCTGTTGACTTAATCTGGATCTGAGCACTCACCAAGCATGCCTCATGTTGCCTATCTTCCTTCTAGTCTGTTAAGTAAATATCTCACTGAGCTTTGTATGTCAAGCGTTTCAGGAATACACCACCTCTAGTTTTTTGATTAAAATACCAAGGATAGTTGTGTTATAGCAGAACAGAAGAGGGACTAAATTACAGTGGTGTCACAGTTTAACCAGTTTCCATTTTCCTCTTCGGAGGGAAGTAGCTTTACCTGGAAATGGGCTGACACAGTCTTGCTTCCCTCTTCGTGCTGATCTTGGGGAGCTCTCTGGGTAATGGACTGCAGGCAGACTGCTCCTTCCTAATACTGATCCTGTGGGATGCAACAAAATAGTAACAATCAAACATGAGTAACTTTCAATAAAAAAGAAAAGTGGCTGGCTTTGACCTGAAACCCCGAAACGTGGAGCCAGCCACTACTGTGCTGCAATACCCTTGAAGTTTCCTTCCCAAGCACCGGGCTCCTCATCTGAAGCTCTGTGGGGATTGAGACTGAGGTGACCAACAAGAAAATTCAGCGTCACAAGTACCGTCGTTACGTGCACAGAACTGGCACTGCCAGTGCTGAACCAGCCTTTTAACTCCAGGGGTGAAATGCAAACGGCCTCTGGCCCCCGACAGAAATGCTCTGCTGCTGTACCCTGATACGCGCAGGGGAACCAGCCACCTTCCACAAAGGTGAATTTTCTTTACATTTGGTATTTGTCCCTAATACTGAAAAAATTCTTTCCTCCTCTGCCATTGCAGGAAGTGGTTTCAGATGAAAGACTCCAAGGAGGACAATTACTGGAGGAACCAAAACTTCTGCATTTCAAAGGGAATACCTTCAGTCTTCAGATATCTGTCCTTGATATCCCTCCTTTCCTTTGGAGAATTAAACCCTTTACCGCGTGTCAGGTACCTGTCAATTTTATCTCTTTACAGTTGAATTCAGAGGAAGTAAGAATTTTCACTGGTATAGGCTTCACCCAAATAAGACGACAGTCTCTTTTCTTTTTGAAAGGCGTGGCTTTAATCTCTTGGGTATGTAACAAAAATGCATTGCCTTATGATTTTGACAAACACAGATTTCATACATAACAGACTGCTTTAAATTTTTAATCTTACAAAAATGCAAGCTTGTACTTTCCCTCATTTCAGCTACCTCCAACAGGAGGCCTATATTTTTCTTAAAAGTTATCACTCACAAAGATGTTTTTGCTATCTTTGTCATTCCAATTTCTGTATAGCTACAAATATATGTCTGAAAATGACATTTAAATGTCATAAGTTCAAATTACAGCACATATGTACTAAGAATTAGAACTGAGGAAGAGCAAATTATTTTTTTCTGTACTACATTAATTAAAGAGGCTGTTGAAGACAGGGAAGTAAAAATCAAAACAAAAGAAGAATTTCTACATGTATTTCTGTATATTTCCAGGTTACTGGAAATTAGAAGTGAGGTGCTGGCACATAGAATGGGCAGGACTTCTAAAATACAGAGCTTAATTAGACTATATAATCTCCCTTTTCCGAGAAGCATATAGAAAGAGTTATCAATCATTCAGTATTTTGGCAAAAAAGTTTTAAATGTGTTGCCATGTTCTCCAAAACATCAGTGTAATGGGCTCTGAAACTTATAAGGCCTAATCTATATAATTCAGAATGTGAGGCTAAATCATGCTGCAACTTAAAAAATTAAAGAAATTGCTTCATTTTTAGCTTCATATGAAGACCAGCTTGCTTTTGTTTTGTTTATTCTACCCACCTAATTGCATTTTAAAAGACAAACTGATCAGTATTAGGATGTCCTGCTACTATATCAGATATCTATCAAAAGTAGTACCTTCCTGGGCAGTAAAAAAAAACTCAGGAGTTTTCTTTTAATACAACAAATTGAGTTTTGCCTCGCACCATATTTGAAACAGAGCTCCATACTTTGATTAATTTGTTGTCTCTTGATCCCTTGTCCAATCCTGGAAAATAAATCTGCATGATAGTCCAAAATGCAACCTCAAAGCACTATTTAGAACAAGTCTGTTTTCTGAAAACTGCTTTCTAATAACCATTCAAGAGATGTGAACTAAATATATGTAGCATTGTCTTATGCTGATCTCTTTTGACTGCTTTAGAAGGCAGACAAAACACCTCTCACAGGCCCATCATGCAGAATGTGTATTAGTTAAATGTCCAGTGTACAAGAGAAAACAACTGGGGAAAGATTCAGTTGAACTTGTCTTGCTGTGGTGACTGCTTCAAAACCACCACGTTCCCTTGGTGAAAAATCACCCAGGCTTTTCTTGCAGCAAAGCAACTTGTTTAAATAGCTCTAATAATAGAATATAAAACTATTGAGAGTTGAACCTTTCTCACTCTCCTGTATTGGACGCAGTAGAAATTCCTGTTCGCGTGGTTTGGTAAGACTGTGGCAGGAAGGCATTGCAGCTACATGAGGAGGAACAGACCCTCGGGACGCAGGTAACACTGTGGTGTAACTTAGGAAAATGGCCTACAGACAACAGAACTTACTGTGCTGTCTGCAAACTGCGTTGCTGATAGCCAGAGAAAGAGGTTTTGCTACTCTAGCTTCCATGTTTCTTTGTAGTTAAGAATTCAGGGAGGATTATTTCTGCTTGATAATTTCTACAAAGTTATTTCTTTGGGGCATCACCTCCTTTGCTGGTTGTGAGTCCCTGGTGCATGCAAAGTTCTGGGAGCGACTCAGAGGCCTCAAAATACTTCGTGTGTGGTTCAGCACTTTTCTTAGTGCTATGTGCAACTTACATGAATAAATATATTGCTTATGGTATATAAAACTCAGGGTCTTTTGTTCTCTGTTGGCAAGTAACAGTCTAGAGTTTCCAGTCCAAGCTGAACTGCAGGGTGCTGCTAAGACATGATAGCCAATGCAAATTTCTTGGTATTAATCTTCACGCATTGCAAGGACCTCGCTTTGCTGAATCTAGTGCAAGTGGCACAGTCCAAAGTAGCTATTCAATTTATTGCTTCAAGATAAAACCAACCAAAACAGAGTCAGTTGAGGGAGTCATAACCCACAACAGAATGCTTAAGTTCTGTGCTTGCTTTAAGGCAGGCAGAGAACGGCGGAGCTCGGGCAGACTTTGATGTAGCAGGCCTGCTAGCCGGTCTCTCAGCAGCCGCTCAGGGTTACAGAAGCATGGGCAAAGCCTCTGCTGACAGAATGGTCTGACACAATGCTGATGCTGAAGCCAAATAAATATTTACATTTTATAATTGAGTATCGTTTGAATGACTCGCACAGCTGAGAAACAGAATAATTGTTTCTAACAGAAACTGCAGAACAGCTTACACTGGCTTTGTATTTCCCTCTCAGGGAAATGCTTTATGAAATGTCCCATCTCTGTTGGCAGCTCTGATTTGGTTCCAGCCTCTTTATATATAAAAGAATCTTACTTCTTCATGTGGAGTTTCTTCCAGTGCTTGCTTACTTTCTCTCCTATGGTACCACACTTTAAAAACAAGTTGGCTGTTCTGGTTGTCAAGAACAGCTGAAAAGAGCCTGTTCCATAATTGTCTGTTTGGTCCATCAACTGAAACCATTATCAGATAGTAGAATGAGGAAGGATTTATGTTAATGATTTCTCAGATAAGTAAAGATCCTGCTTCAAGGCTTGAACAGATGAATAAATCATCACGTAAAACTGTGGCATAAAAGCAGTTAATGGCAGGTGGTAGTCAGAATTTCTCCAGACTCTTAAGTGCGTTTGTTTGTCCTGGCCATCCTGCGGAGCAGATGCCGAGTGCTTGGCATCCTTCCCACCGTGCTCACACGTAACTAGGGGGGAACCCTTAAAAACTGCCTGGGTGGTAGAGCACGAAGAGGCTGTGACGAGCACGTTAAGACGCCAGACAGGCACCTTTGGGGGTTAAAAGCAGCTGTCTTCCGAGCATCTTGTGTCTCTTGGAGGATCCAGTGTCTATCTAGAGCTATGAGGTGATTTACATTCCCGCTGTCTGCTAGCAACTTAATTATAAAGAGAGAATAAAACTGAAAGCATTTCTGAAACACTTTAAACTCTCATTGTTCCACCATGCTTTACCCCCTTGTATTATGTTTCATAGAATTCTTTTCAGCTGAGTGATTCTTCCACTCTGAATGAAAGCAGCGATGATTACTCTGGAAAAATCTAATTACAGTTGCTCCACTTCTAATATTTTGCTAATGTTTTCTTTATCACTGTTGGTATCTTGCTACTGCTACCAGCTGAGGATCTAAACGCAGAGCTTATCATTATCACTTAGTGCATCATTACAGATAGCCCGAGACACTCGTAAGAAGCACTAAACTGGGTATCAGTGATGAGTACGATGATACTTTCCCTAGTTTAGTCTTGACTGTACTTGAAAGTGTAGGGTGAGGCTGATCTGTGAAGCTGTATGCTCTCAGATTACCAGTGCATAGCTAATTTCTTCAGGGGCACAGAAAAGATCGTGACCTAAATCAAATCAAAATTGCTTACAGGAAGGCAAGAATGAAGAAACGCATCTTTTCTGAGCTGCAAGCTCCTTAGTGAGCTTCCGTTTATAAAGTGATCATGAGAGTGAAGTGCACGGTTTATTTGATTTGAACAGCTGATTATGACGAGTGACTAGTTGGTAGGTCACTCAGTTATAACTATCAGTATTAAATAGTGAAGGAACTACGGCACATTTTTTGTCCCTGTCTCTGTTATTTATTAACCCTTTATAGAGCTCTGAAAAATGCAAGCAGAATCTATGCCCAGATTAAATTTGCGTATGTAATTAATGTATTTTCTTGGAGGGATCAGCATCACGTGCCATTGAAATCAATTCTAAAATTTAAAAATAGTGCATGAAAAAAGGACAGAGTAATCTGAAAATTCATAATCCTCCTCTGGAAAAACTGATGTAAAAATCTTTAAACTACTTTCCTTGTGTTAGACTAATTGCTAATTGAAGCTGTTTAATACTGTTCCATAATCATACGGATGAATGCTAAGATCCAGTAGAATGAAATATTAATATCAGTCTTCTTTTCCCTTTTACATTGCTCTCCAGATTGCCAATTCTGCAGTATTTTCCAATATTCTGAAATTAATAGAGAACATGCTTGGTTTAATTGTTTTTACTACTTACACACCTTCACAGCTACAATGCAGAACACTACAGTGGGTTTATAGCCGATGTCAGTTTGGAAAACAAACAAAAAAACCCCAACCAACCAACCAAAAAAAAAAAAAACCCACCAACAAAACCCATGTTCTGAAAGTGTAAAGAGAGGACATCAGTAAGAGAACTTTGGTATTTCCAAAGTAAGCATAAACCAGAAGGTAGCTGCCCCCTCTGTAATCTCCTGCCTATTTCTGTACGTTTTTAGGAACTCAAAGCAGCCAGGGATGCCAGCAATCTCTGATGATTAATTGCTGCAGTTGTCTATGTAGGATTTGATGAGGGCATTCACCCCATTAACTGTCCCTGGCTGAAATAGAGGAGTCACTGAAAGTAGTCACAGAATATAACAGCATGAAACTAAGAAGTAAAACTGAGACTGACCCCTGAGTGCAGTGGGTGCAAGGTGACTACCCAGGCAGGTGGGTGTTCAGAAATTCGGATGGAACATAAATACAGCAAACGTGCTGCCGTGCTCTGTGCTGCATTAACTGACAGAGGAAGGGCAGTTCCTGAGGGGAGGTTCCTTTTTTGGGATTCTGTAGTATAAGGTGATGGCAAGGAGATGCCGATTAGAGTACGAGTTCTGATCCCTGCCTAGGAGGAGTAAGTGAAGTGCATCTCTCAAGTTTTGTTTTAGATGAGTCTCTCCTCATTGGTGCCACTGAATAAATGCAGCATCTTTGTTTTTATCAACTGAATCATCATTTATTAGTTTGGTCCTACTTTGAGTTTGCAGGGATGTTAGTAAAAACGCAATTGCAGAGAAAAATCATGGATTTTTTTTCTCCCTGTTTTGCTCTTGTCCCACCTTCCCTCTCTGCCGTGCGCCCGGTTGCCCCCCTCGCAGGAGCTGCCCTTCTCCCGTGTGTGGGGCAGCAGCCAGAAGCCGCTGCACTGCGCCTTCTCCCTGGAGCGCTACAGCCCCGCCACCACCCAGCTCTCCTGCAAGATCTGCGTCCGGCAAGTCAAGGGTCACGAGCAAATCCTGCAGATCCAGACATCCATTCTCGAGGTAAAGCGTTCTCTCTCCTTTTACGTTGCGTTAAGTTGCCGTGCAGTGGGCAACATGCTCCCTCCCCATTTTTGCCGTTTCTGCCTCTACGGAGCCTCTTCAAAACTCCAACGAGCATGCAAAGCCTTACAGATCCCATTTCCAGCAGAAATCAAAGCACAGAGATTCTACAACACTACAAGTAATTTATATTTGACTTGGTGGTAATAGTTTTTTTTTTTGCCAGAAGTTTTTGAACAGTTTTGTAGAGCACGGAGTTGAAAGCAGACGGACTGCCTGTGCGCTGTTCGGCCCCTGCCGACCCACTTGCAGCGTTTCTGTGTACCCGGCATGGCTGGCGAGGACGGCAGCTTTGCTCACAGGTGAAAGAAATCAAACAGGCTGGCAAGCTGGTGCTGTCTCCTCCAGCAGCGACAACTTCAGCTGCTATTTTTAGGTTATTGAGCATATCTTCGTTGATTAATCTAGATTAATACTTCTGGATTAAAGACAGATGCCCATTGCTAAATGCACTAGGCAGAGAATGCAGCAACTGAGTAAGAAGATCACAAACATCATTCTGTATAAAAACATCCTTAGGATACAGCTAAGCATTTTTCCAGTTCCCTACTGTTATTTCATAAAAAATTTCTCTTATTCTACATATATCTCAATAAAATGTTGCTGCTGATTTTTATTTTTCCTCGCATTTATTTAAATAAAAAAAAAAGCGACCTATCTGTCCACAAGTCCTGAGAGCATGCTAAAATTCTGTCTTCAAATGGATTTGCTAGTACAGAAGCCTTTTTCATGACTATCTCAAAAAGTGATTGAAGAGTGAGGATAATTTGACTGTAAAATAAATATATAAATAACAACTGAATACTTGAACTGCTCATTGCTCTACAATTCCCTGAACTAAGCAGGTAGCAGTAGGCTTATCTCACATGTGCAGGGTATGAAAATCTACTATTGTTCTGCATATTTAATTTAAATAGTCAGACCATGCGATATATCTACAGCACCACTATTACTTTGCATGGATGACTTTTGGGATGTGTCATAAATGTTACATGAAGAGACTACAGCATCATTGTTATTTAATATTTATGCTGCATTGCACTGAAACGAATAATGCATGGAAATGTGACTATTACACAAGACTGATACAATTTCATAGGAGAAGAATGGGCCAGATCTGCGAAAGGACCTGGATTCCAAAGAGATTTTTAATATGGAAGAACTGAGGTACTTACAGAATTGAGGTGTTTTGTAAAAAGAAAAAAGAAATCACAAATGAGAGATTGATGTGTCCGTATTTTAGGCTTAAGCCATTAAAGATGTAGAAACACATATGCTTTTGTGGCATCCCATCTAGCAATCACTGCTCTGTTGGACTTTACCTGTACCACAAAAATAAACAAAAAGAGGAAACGTGTAAAAGGAAAATGACACGACTTTAAATGGTTTTATACAGAAGTGCTTGTGACGTTCCAGAAATTCCTTCACAATTCAGGAAAACACCTCTTAGCTATTTGATTTTCTGTGTCAACCCTACAAACTAGAGGTGGAAGCTCAGGCTCAGGTTTGATTCGTTCTTCCTCCGAAAGCAGAGTTGGTACGCGCCGGTACCCGTGCAGAGGCTCCCTGCGTGCCGAGGCGGGCAGGTCAGCACGCCCAGCTGGGCTCGTTCCGAGCAGGCTGTGCAGAACGCTTGTCTCCGTGCCCATTTGGGAGCGGGACAGGATGATAGGAATCCTCGTGGTGTTACTCTGCTACTACGCTGAAGAGAGCCACCCGGGGCAGGCAAAGCCCGATGCCCTGACTAACTGCTTTGCTTTTATATTCTGTGTAGAACGAAAGAGAAACCATCACCTTCTTCGCACATGACGACAGCAACTTCCCCGCGCAGATGGGTCCAAAAGCATTCAAAATCCCCTACTCTATTAGACAGCGAATCTGTGCAACGTTTGACACACCCAACGCCAAAGGCAAAGACTGGCAGATGTTAGCACAAAAAAACAGCATTAACAGGTAATGGAAAGCAATTTTGAAAGGTGAACATTTACATATGCAACAGGAATAATTTGCTGCTGTTATGGTTTTTTTTAGTTTGTTTGCTGGTATTAAAGATCTGTGCATAGTAATTAACATACTCTCAAGGATAAGCTGTAGTTCATACGTTCTCTCCCACACGACCGGCTGCCGAAAGCAGGAGCTGCTCGCTCTGAACCAGCCCGTGTGCCCTCTCCTCCCCGTGTTTGCTGCCAGGGCCGGTTTCCGTGTTCTGGCCTGGACCTTTTCTCTGGGCACCCCCAGGAGCGGGGCTCGGTACAGTGCACGGCTGCAGGAGGAGTTTGGCACGGGTTCAAAGGACTTAGGAGGTTGCATGTTCTCTCAAAAAGTCATATGGCCTGTTGCCTTGGCTTCTATCGACGTGTTTTGTATTCCAAAATGAATTACATATTTTGCAGATTTTTGTTAAGGAAAAGGCATATTTTAAAAAGAAGTCATGCTGTACTGTTAGGAGTAATAATATTATGATTATTAAAACTGAAAGATGCTGTAAAAACTAATTTACTAGTTATTTTGCTTTTTCCGCTTGGCTAAATTAAGTTGGTGGAGGCAGTTCACTCACAGAAATATTTTTTGATTGTCACAGCCACCATAAGCATGTTCCCGAGAGGCTAGAAGAATACTTAAATCAAGCAAAATAACTTTTCATTGACTCATTCCTTTGCATGGGAATCCCAATAAACCACATCTGAACCAAAGAAAAAAGTAATTTATAGTCTTGCAGCAGTGAGAGAGTCAGAAAATTCTGCTTTACTTATCAGTGTTTATTACCTATTGTCAGGCGCTTTAATCTTCCGTGGTTTCTACTGCTTATGCATAGAGGAAGCCAAAGGAGATTTCTCCTTCTGAGGAATCTGAGAGACAGAGCACTAAGGAGATTGCGCTGACGTGCGTAAGACCAAAGCTGTGATAGCCCTTTGCCTTTCGAGTCTGTGTAGGAGACTCCTGGTGTAGGGTCTTTACAATATCTATTTTTATAAAATCAAATTCATAGACAGAAAAAGGAAGTTGTCGAGCAGTTTAAAGAACCCACAATGTAGTTATAAAACCAGGTGGTAGAGCTTAAATACTCCACTTCATAGATTTCCACATCTCGCTGTACAGCATAATCCATTAGTGTCACGGTTCCCCCCATCTATTTCAGAGTCTAGACCCCTGCCACGCTCGTAGTTGTGCTGCAGTCAAGCTCTCGGCCAGGGTACCAGCCCGGCCTCGGCTCCTCAGCTGAGCACATCGTCTGGTCTTTCAGTTCGTATCCGCGCTCGGAGGGACTTCAGGGCTGCAATGGGACTGCAGCTACACACACGCACACACTGTTCTCTGGTGCTAACTGCCGCTCACCCAGGGAGGGGGAAGTACCGGGGAAAGTAACGAGCAAAGCTTGAGGGAAGGAATGGTATCTGCCTGGTTTTTACTGACAAGTAACAGTGGTCAGTAGCAAATACTTAATTATCTTGGAGTTGATTTAAAAAAAAAACAAACGGCAGCATGCAAGTCCACATCTCCTTCTGTGCTACAGGTTTATCTGTTCGTTCCCACATTTATAGATATGTATCTATATGTAATACAAATGTTATAAATACCATTTATCCTTGTGATGTGAAGTCCAAGCCCGTAAATAGAAGGAGTTATAGGGCAATGCGTTTAAGGTAAATGCTGTTTTACCAAATTCTTTGACAGTCACCCCTACAAAGTCCTAAAAACTACATATTAATAAAATATAAATTTACAAATTAGAAGATGTCATTTCTTCACATAATCACAAGCATCAAGTGAAGTTATATAATTCCTCTCCCTGACAAATACTTGCTAAGTTTATTAATGATGCTTTCCAAAACTGACTTGTTTTCTACATGATATAGGACGGTTCTGCTGGCCAGCGGTTATGTGCAAGTCCCTTGTTCACTCTCCTTCTGCTCAACTGAGCAAGTGACACGTGAACAATAAATGCAGCAGTGTGGGTCCTCTTGAGGGTTCCCTCATCTAGGTCTTGCTGAAGGTTTTTTGTTTTTTAAACACATCTGCATTGCTGGGCACAACAGAGGGCACGTTCCCATTTCAGGGCAGCTACCGTATATACTGTTCCTCATGCTTTTCGTTTCACCTTTTTCTCCCCCCCTTTTAGGAATCTCTCCTATTTTGCCACACAAAGCAGTCCATCTGCCGTCATTCTGGACCTCTGGGAAGCCCGACACCAACACGATGGCGACCTTGACTCCCTAGCCTGTGCCCTGGAAGAAATAGGAAGGACACACTCCAAAATCTCAGACATAACAGAAACTGAGATTGAGGAGCCTGACTTCAACTACAGCAGACAAAATGGACTTTAGTCACTTTTTTCCATTCAAGAACTGATGGCCAGCTTTGACTATTACACTAGAGATTCGCTTTGGCAGGGAGGAAATAAGGGTTTCTGCACGGTGTGTATGGGAACAGACACTCATTTCCACAATGCAGTTTTCAGTTGGAGGAGCAGAAGCAGCCCTATTAAAAATCATCTCGGTAATAAGGAAAACACAAGCTTCTCCATGTCCTCTCTCATTTAAAATTCATGTTTTAAAGTCAAAAGCAAAACTACACATCTGTCATTCCTGGGGCAGGAAGGAGTGACGTACAGAGCCATTAGCAGCAAATGCGATGACATAATGTATTTAGGAAACAGTAAGGCTAATGTAATGCCTAGTGAAAATCAGCAAATATGATATTGACTATTTAGAGCCAGTACTGGTTAATCCTAGTCTAAAGGCTTGTCGTCCTGGGGCCTCCTGCATCTCTAACTGAACACACTAAAGAGTGGGCTTCAAATGCCCTTTGATCACATCAGGCTGTCACTTTGTATCTGCTACAGGAAAACTGAAAATCTGGCCTAATCCTGTTCAGATGTTTGAGGAATTAGAAGATCTCATAACTATTTAGTTGGTATCATGTGTATTCCAAACAATTTCTTTCAAAAATTCAATCGCTTAATGAATGTACATTTGCTGCAGAGCTTTCCTGCCTATTCTGTTAACAAAATAACAGAACAAACCCCTTCTCTGTGAAATTAGTGCGTGTGTGTGTGAGAGAGAGAAATTTTCTGAAATTCAAAAGATGTTTCTTTGGGGGTAGATTTAAATAACCAAATGCAGGAAATTGCCAGCCCTATTTTAGCAAGTTTACACATTTTTTTTAATTACTTCATGTTGTGGGGCTAAACTAAAAAGTAAAGGTGAAGTGAGTCAGCATAAGCATAGCTTAATTTTAGTTTAGTTTCCGTTTGAAACAAAGAATAAACCCCACATGGTACTGCCAAAAATTGGCTTGATTTCATTGTACAATTTGGAAATTTCACAGGATATAAAGCTGGCTGGTTTACACTTGGTTTAGTTACAAGCATATTGCATTTACCACCAAAACTAGAGAATTCTCTTAATTTTTTATCCATTTTATACAAAAATAATTTATTACTTCAACTGAACCAAAAAAAGAGCTGTCACTGTGAGTGAGTGTCCTAGTGGAACTGGTACTGAGCCAAATTTAACTATTATTTTTACTCATGTAATCTTTAAAGTTAGCCAAGGTGGTTGTTAGCTCTGGCCCTAGGCCATCAGTTTTAGTGATAAGAACTAATCAGTATAAAGCAGGAACACAAACAAGACTTTAGGAGCTTTATGGAAATGCAAGAAATTGAAAACAAGCATTCTGGGGGTTTTTTTTACCCCCATATTTGGCCGAGAGAAGCATGATAGGCCAGAGGGTAGGTACTTACTGTGCGAATCTATAATAATCTGGAATTATTTCTTGACCCAGGATTCCAGTTCTGAAGAGTATGATGAACAACTCTTGATGGAAGACCCTGCTTGTTCTTGCTGATCTGAAATTGCAAATTTGACTGCTTTCCCAGCTCGGCAGGCCAGAATAGTCTTAGACTTATAAATACTTAGACTTCCCCAAACATTTTCTGCACTTTAGTATTTCATGCAGTCTGACATGAGAGTTCCTGTTTGCAATGGGAAATCATAATGGCTGCGAGCATATTTGAGACAGAGACAAAAATACCAGCTTACTTGGCAGCAAGCTGTCACTGTTTTCAGCAGCACAGGGTTCTATCTGTGTTTGAATTATATTTCTAGTGACTTCCAGTCCTCCTCCTCAGAAACCTGTTCTTCATTGGACAAAATGTCATGAATTAAAAAAAAACAGGGAATGGCATCCACAGAGAGCGGTGGAGTTCTGGTGAGCTGTCGTTGTCTGGGAAACCAGCTACAGTCACTCGCCAGCAGTTAATTTGTTCTCTGCTTCTCCTCAGATGCAGGTTTAATTTTCAACCTAGCTTAGGTTAGCTACCACAACAACGACCTAAGGACTACACCCTGCAGGGGCTGTAACATATTCATGTCATTCTGAAGAGCTGTAGGTACTTTCTCCTCTTGATTGCCAAATATATGTGAGGTACACACAGCATACGGGGTCAAAAAGAGCTGCAATGTGGAGCTCAGACCTTAAAGCTTTTTCTCAGGAAATGCACAGTGTTTACTTCCAAGACTTGGGTAGCTTTGAAAAACCTCTGTGTACAGCGACACCCAACTTCGGGTGCTCGGCGAAGCCAAGAGAGCAACCAGCAGCTGTCCAGACCACCTTCCTCCAGAGCGCGTCTGAAAGGGCCTTCAGACCGCCGGGATCTGGGTTCTCCACCAAAATACACCAAGTTAGATCCAAAATCCAGTGAAGTCTAGTGGCTGAGTTAACATACTGAAAAGGAATAAATGTCAAAGTTTCTTACAATGCCAAAAAAAAACCGGTCCGGTTTTGGGCCTAAGGTAAGATTCTAATTTTACATTGCTCAATAGAATATTGTTGTCTTCTTCTAGGTTTTGTTTCCTGTTTTTTCTTCACGTTTGAAGCAGCTTCTTTGTTACTGATCTTTCTTTTTGTGACTCCGAATCAAGATCTCTGACTATTTCTAACCTATTACTGGTTTGATGCTCTTGTATTAGTTTAAGTGGACTAGAAATGCCACGGTACCACTTACTTACCTGTCTGCCATTGGAACAGGGTTTGAAACAGTGACCAAACCCCCAGCCTGCATTTCTACGGGGACCTTATCTGGCTGTAGACCCGAGCCTTACAAGAACTGCCATACTCTGCTGGGTGAAAATCCATGCAGTCTCGTACAGTATCTCTCATAGTGACCAGGATTGAAAGTTTAGGGGAAACGGTGTAAGAACTGTGCCCTGCACTGAAGGACTTCCTCAGCAGGGGGTTGCATCTGGCCCGCTCTGTCCGAGGCACTGATACTGTCCTTCAGCACACTGACTAATCCCTTTTGAACCCACTGAAAACACTTGGCCTTCGTGGACAATAGAGGAGAAACAAGGGCCACAATCTTCTTTTGCATTTTTCTAAACAGTCCTTCCTTTCCAAGCTTTCCTCTTGTTTAACACACGCTGCCGAACAATTGCCCTGGGTTCCCCTAGGTCCTGTAGTAAGGAATACTGAGTAAGTGCTCCCCACTCACCTTGCCCACACTGGACATTCTTTTACAGCCTTCTCTCACATTTCATATCCTCTCACTCTCTTATCTAGGCTGAAACCCCCTGGTTTATTCTACTTCTTTGGCCATCCTTGCTGTTACTCCCTGTATCATCTCCCGTTCTGTATCTTTTTGGAGCTGGAGTGACCAGTGACCTGCTTTTCAACAGGAACGCAGGCTAAATCACACAGTTCCTCCAATTCCTCAATTTCTTGCTGTTCCCCCGTTCAGCATCAATCACAGGATTAAGATCTTGCTATAGTGTAAAGCCACAAAAAACACCTGCAGGAGTGCAGGACGCCTGAGAATACAGTGACTGCCTTTACTGTGCAAATTATTCCAGCTAATCCATCCTGAACACCCAGAAAATAAAACCTGTGAGTAAAAAAATGTGTAGCTGAAAAAAAAGACTGAGGTGACAGATGTCCAAATCATTAAAAAAAAATCATAAAAAGGAAATTATTTGTTCTCCACAATAGTGATGGATGCTGATAAGCAGCAACTGGACAATAAGAACGTGAGTTAGACTTCTGAGTGGAAAAACAGGCTGCAGGTTTTTTTCCTATTTGCCTCCTGCCCGCCCCCCACATCTGTTGATTACCTGAAATGTCTGGTACAGACATGCCTGTTCTCAGATGCTCTTTCTGTTGTTTTGTGTAAGCATCATGGGATGATATTAATAGCACTTAGCACTTTTACTTATAGAGGCTTATGCAAGTTCTCCTCCCTTTTTTATGCACAGTCCCGGTTTTAGAGATGGAGAAATTAAAACGGTTTTTAGTTAAATGCTTCTGCTACCATATAAATGAAGCAGCAACATGAATTTTGTTACCATTAACAAGCAGCTAAACAATACAAGTAAAAGATGTTAAATGTTTGCTTCCTATTTTCCACAGTAGAAGGCAGCTGCCTGGTGCCAGCTCCCCCACAAGCCTGCTGTAAGTATGCTTTGCAGTACAGTGTTCTCTCAGAATGGTAATTCAGAATTTGTATGCAAATGCTATATAAAGAGATATGTTGAACATTATTAGCAATCTTAAATTTCCAGAAGCACATTTTTAACATCTATATTAAAAAGATTTTTTGGAAATCTGTATACATATATGTATATGGTCTGATGCAAAACACAGATGTAAAGGAGCATCTGAAGCAGGATTAGAGGCCAGAAATTAAAAATTTATTCCTTTCCTCTATATTAGTAATTAGGAATTTTACAAATCTCTTCACAAACTAGAAAGTAAAAGAGAAATGTAATGCTACGCCCTTAAGATCCCATTTAGCTGCCCTGAGTCCGAGATGGTGAAACAGCCGTTTTGATTTTACATCACCCAAGAATCTGCTCTTGTATATTTTCATCTTCCTAAGCACTCTTCCCAGATATTTCTGTGCTGTGAGTCACTTAAGACTAATAGTTGCATTTTAAAAATTACTTACAATTTTGTCACCAAAATGGTGCACTTCACAGCTCCACCAGACTGCAGCATCGTAAAGCTAATTTACAGTTTTTACAACGCTGCTTTTGCAATCTTACTCGTTTACATTGAAATCCTTTAAGCCACAAGGAAAGGAACCCTGCTCAGTAGATTCAAATTCAAATTTCATTTACCAGCGCAAGTCCCATAAAAGCAAGATGTACTCCCACAAAAATTTTATTGGGCTTTTTGTAATAGATGAAAAGATATCAGCACAAGTCTCTTAAAATACAGGGAACTATTTTTGTTATTATTTTTATCTCTGGCAACAGCTGGTCTCCTCCTCTACGGGCCCGTGCACAGCTTGCTTTCCAGCAGGTTGCGAGAGAAGCTTATTCAGCATAAATCACTAAAACAGGGATCTTCTTGTAGGACTACACAGTATTAACATCATACTAAAGGTCCATTCTTCTTTTTTTCATTTGAAAGATAGTGTTATATGAGAGTTTTAAACATTCACTAACTGATCAATTCCAGATAATATTTTCCACTACAAAAAAAAAAAATACAGTTTATGTAAACAGTGAAGCTAAAACAAGTGAGGAACTGTTGCAGACTTCTGTTCATGATTTGAATTATTTTTTTTTCCAGTCTATTTCTGCCTATAAAGCATGTTTAAGCAAAGGGCTGCATTATTTCTTGGATGGTAATTAACTGAGTGGAAAACAGGAAATTATTTCTAAGTCCTTAACGGTGAATGAGCTGAAGATTTGTCTTTCCAGCTTTTCTTTTACTACTTTGAATTATACCTAGGAAGTTTTCCCACTTTTTACACAGCAGTAGAGATGGTTAGCATTATTCACTGCGAACCTCTGTCATGTTAAACCTGCTGAAGAGTGTTTACTATGGGTTATTCACTTGTGGTGTTTGCTTTGGTAAAACTACCCCCTTGACACTATTCCTGCTTGAGAAGAGGCTCGCGATTTTTCCGCAGCAGCATGTAAAATGGCACATATGTCCTTTAATGGATATATAATGATAGCCTAGTTAAAATTACTTAAAACTTAAAGCATTCCTGAGCAAGTACAGTAACTAAAAATACTAGGTATGTAACACGCAATACCTGGAGCAACAAATAAAACTCAATATGCTGGCAAAAGATCATGAATCGTTTTCTAGTAACGCACAGTCTAGCTCTTTTCTCTCATTGCCAATACTAGCATAAGTGGTAGCAAAAATCTCCTTTCCAACATGGACAAAAATAAATAAATCACTCTAAGATTAAAGAATCACTTAGAGAATCATTTGATAGTAACAGTGTCCGCAGTGCAGAACACAGAACTGATGTTCTGCTCGTGGCTGCAAGTAAAAAAACAATCTGTCAGTATCCATGTTCACTGTTCTGTCCAAAAATAAAATACATGTCTAGGAGTTTGCCACTATATTTTTTGTATTAGAGGTGAATAGTACAGATTCTACTAGTGTTTCTTGTCTGGGGCTTGGGTGGGTAGGGGTGTATTGTAATTTTCAAGCTATTGCAAAAGCTGCTTTTAAATAAGCTGTTCAGTTGTATTGAATAACTGGTTTGTGCTTTACAAGGGAATCCGGGTGAGCCAGGGCTCAAGGGGTCGCCTCCCTGCCTTGCTGTCACAGGGTAACTAGAGCTGAAGTCACTTGTGAAAATTTAGCTATGGGATAGGGAGATTAGATGACCCATCCCTGATCTGTAATGTGTGTACTGTAATCTAATGAGATTAGACACTCACCTACTGTAGAGCTGTGGTTTTGTCAGCAGCTACTTAGTTTGTCTGCCCCTGGTGTGATAACCTTGGTTGAGAATGTACTTCTGCAGATTTAAGATGATGTCAAATCCCTGTGTTATCTGGTCTCTGTATATAAATCTTATTGTCTAATCCCAAAAGGAAATGTGTAGCACAAAATGAAGTTCAGGGTGTTCTGCACCAAGCCTGGTTAAAGTTATTTTCTGATACAGCAGAAGGGGGAAGACATGGATCTAACTGCAAGTGTATTTGCTACAGAGAATGTTTCCTAACAAATGCTCACTTAGAACTGACTGAAGCTTTGTTTTTGCAGTTTAAAAAATGTAAGACCCGCTATTTCCATACTGAAATTTGCAATATTATCCTTATGATATCTTTTCAATCAATTCCTTCAGTTTTCCCTCATTTGTGCACTGAAGTTGGAGGGGGAGGGAGGAATATTTTTACATGAAGTTGTAGACTTTCACATTCTTTCCACTTTCGATCTAAACCCCAGGTACCATTACTGAACCTCACAAAGTTCCCTAAAGCATCAGTATACACACACAGAGATACATATATATATACATATACATATATATATATGCCTCACTGGGAACGTGCCATTTACATACTTAAGGTGTATATTTGGGAACAGCAAACTGCCATCATACAATTGGTGACTTGGGAGATGATGTAGCTGCCTCCTCCCACCTCTTAATCAAATTCATGCCCACTGTGACTGCTGATCTCACCTTATGCAAGGGTACAAGAACATTAGGAGTACACCTTTTGTTAATTTGGATGAAGTAAAACATGATGCTGGTCAGTCTGATGAAACGTAAAACAGTGTTACGTGTGACCAGAGCTAACTGAAAACTTTCCATTGCACTTTCAACTTTCACAACTTTGGACCAGCCTTTTGGTGAAAAGGGGAGGGGGAATGTCAATTTAATGAAATACAAAATAATTAATAGTTTTTAAAAAGAGGAAAAATCCACAAGTATTTCTCTAGAGAGACCTATTTTCTCTTCTGCTCCTTTATTTTCACAGTGAATAGGTTCTGAAAATGTTGGTTCTTGCTCATTTGACTGAGCATTCTTCCCTCCCCCCGCTTCTCCCCACGGTTTCAGTGTGTTTAGAACTGAAAAAAGAGCAGAGGTTTGAATGCTTTCTTTAGTATGAAGCTGAAGGAGCAGGGAAGAGAGACAGAAGAACATTAAATAAAAAGCATGGCCTTGGCTTCATACCACACTTTCTGTGCCTTGTTCTATCAATGTAAATTCTGAATGTTGTACAGTAAAATACCTGGGAAAGACTTCTTGGAAAAGGCTGCACTGGCTTCTTTTTTCAGCACATGTACATATATAAATATATATACATATATATTTGGTAATGCCAAACAGCTGTGTTATATTGTACTGAAAAAGTAATAATGGACAGTTTGGATGTTTTATGTAGAGTTTGCAAAACTTGTATGGCTATAGCCTTTTGAAGATAAATGTACAGACGTAAATTACTGCATATCAGTTATTTATGAATAAAGAGTCTTTTACTGACATCTTAGATTACTGTATGAGTGGCACATTAATTACTGTGATAACAAGATGCACTGATGCAAGTGCTTTGGGATGCTTCACTGGTTTTCTAGTGAGCCTTGTATGGCAGTTTATGCTGGAAAATTGTGTACTGGACACCTTTTCCCAGAAAACCTGCAAAATCTACATGAGTAGGACCAGAACTGAAGTTTACCGTTTACTGACAACATTGAAACAATTCAAGAATATCATCCTGCTTTCATAGTAGTCTGAACTACAGCCTGAAGAATGCCAATGGCATCCTACCTAAAATGTGACTTAAGGTATTTTATGAAAATGCCGCCTTTATTTGTCTGATCATACGTAAAAGCCCTGCTCTAGGGCTAGGACATCTTTGCACTGCAAAAGTAACATATATTATTCTGCTTTTTGCAAGACAGAAGCTGTAAAACCTCTCTGTGTAGGTATATACACTGAGAATTCCCTCCAAAAGGCAGGTAGCTCCTCTGCTGCATTCAACATGTGGTTGTACGTTGAATTCTGTGTCACTGGAAACAAAGCTGAGTTCCATTCCATTTACCATGTAAATGTAATCTTTTGATTTGTATTACCCTTTACTGAGACACACCAGAGAAGAAATTGTCTTGATTAATCCTTCCCATACAGATGGGCTCATAACCTTAGATCTCACTTAAAATAACAGAAATACCCTGTCAGCAAATAGAGCCCTCACCCTAAAATTGTGAAGCAAGTATCTAGTAAAATAAGCATATGGTCACTTAATGCATGATAGCTCATCTAAGGAGTGCTAACGTGCTTCAGCTCGCCGTACAATGCATACCATTGTCTAATTCTCAGTCCTGTTCTGTCTTCACAGAATTTAGAAGGAATAATTACAGAATCTGTGAGGAATAATGAAACAGTGAGCTGCCTCCACAGCTACCGTCATGGCTGGTCATTTGAACAGGTCACAGAGTTGTTTAGTGACACCGATTTTCCCCAGGACCCTCTTGAATAGAGGGTCAGAAGATTTTGTTACAGTTTGTTCCCAACAGCTGTTAATGGAGCTACTACAGAATACCTGGTAGGAAGGATGGCTTTGGTTGGTAGATAGATAGAGAAAAGATAAGGAGAGAAATGAAATCTCTCCCTGCATGCGTTTAATTTTTTGGTTGTTTAAAGGCCATTTGGTTGCTTACTCAGATCCTTGAACCCTTCCTTCTGTTGTGACAGGAGGCAACACAGGAGAGAACTAGTCCTGGTTACAAACAGCACAAACTAATTTAAACTGAACTGAATAAATCCCAATCTGTCCTCTGCTAAGGAGGTTTGGGCTTTTTGTACTTTTTTTCTCTTCTACTTGTGAGATATTGATTTGATTTTATATAGTTAGTTAGTATTCCAATATTTACCAGTGCTTCAAGGCTATTTTCCCTTATTTTGTTTTTGTTTGTTTGCCTTTTTCCCTCCTGTCATCTTTATTTACTACATAACAGCAGCCACTAGCAGATTCAAACCTTAAGTAATGGTTAATGCCTAAAGTCCTACAGAAAGCTTTGTTAGAAGAAGAACCCAAGGAACTGTGAGCAAGCCCAGTCACCGATGCGTTGCTACATTTTGCAGGTTACCAATGGTTTGACATCATTGCAATTACACAGCAATCTGACAACCTAGCATTTCCCATAGTTGAGACATCTGTAATGCTATGTTTCTTCCCTCAACAGGAAGGAAAGAAAATATACTTCTACCCATTTTAATTAAAACTTTTGTAATGCACTTGGAAGCGCTACCCTCCCAGAAACCTAGGAGAGCTGTCAGAGGGCTGTGAAGTCCTGTCACTGCTTCACCTCTACAGAAAAGATCTGCTGGCTAGGAATTGTTACATCCAGCTTCACTCTTAACACGGCATCAAAACCATCTGCCTTCAAGTAACTTCGTTTTGTTTTTCCAGTCTGAGTGAATCTCTCACAAGTGTTAGAAAATCAAACAGGCTTTATAAAAGATGCAGCCCCACCACTATCACATTGGCAAGTCAAGTTCTACACTGACACAAAACGCCATGCTGAAAATATTCAGCATATTGCTTAGCATTTGACGCAGATACTCTGTCCCCTCAAAGGAAAAAGTACTACACGATGAAGCATGGACTCTGCTACAGTGAGTTGTTTGACGCCTATCCTTGATTTCAAAATACGTGAGTGATATAATATAAAGAAAACAGCACTCCTCCTCCACGGTCTCCCCACGCCGCTTCAAAGCACACCGTGTAATACCGTGCAGATCAGAGAGGAGGGACCTAGAGGGCCGGTCGGATGGCACATCTCGAGCGCTTTGAACTGCTGCATTCTCTGCCGCTCTCTTTAGTGGAGAACTGCTGAAAGATGTCTTTGCTGAATACAGTACTTCACTGGTGGCTGCACAGTGCCAAAGTGTGCAGTGTTTAATTCCCCAGTGGAATGGTGTTATGCTGCTAGCCTGGAAAAGTAGAATGACCTTGCATAAGGTAGGAAAACCTACTGAAACAAGTAAGAGGAAAACAACACTCGCACACTCAGCCAGAACTCGGGACAGCTGGGTGTACTTCTGTGCTATATTTTGTGTGTGAGGTCAGTTACCTGATTTTGGGGTCCTCAGACTTCTCTTTCAACTGAATACATCAATGCTTCCAACCCCTCTACCCTCCAAAAGACCCAAAAAAATGTATTATCTCTCAGTATTTTAACTCTTCAGAGCATGGACAGTCTTTCCCATACAGTGGCTAGTACCTCAGCAGCTGGATCTGTATCTGTAATGGAATTAGTTATTGTTTAGCAACACTGCTATGCCAGGCACACTATAAAAACTAGGCGCTCTTTTCCTTAGAGGGCTAAGGCAGCCAAAGAAAACAATATGGCTAAGCCAGTGTTTTGTGATTGCATTTATAAGATGGCACCATATGACAACTGCCTCTATAGTGTGGCAGTGAGTTATGGGTTGTAATGGGCAAAACACATTATTAGCATGGCTCTTTTACATATGAACAAATCGTTAGCTCTTTAAAAAATGCCTTCCAATAAACCCAGAGATCAAAATAATAAGCTTTAAAGCAGGCCCTTTAAAAAGTTCAGTTCCTTAGAAATACTGGAAATGTTTTGTTTTTAATCATCCAGTAGTAAAGCATACTTTGCTGTGAATGAGGCCTCTTAGTTCTTAATCATGCCTGCTACAAGGATAGTTTTTGTACAGAATTCATGAGAAGGGTAGCTGAAGAGTAACTACTGAAAGCAGTGCAAGAGCTAAGAAAGTCTCATGATGCAAAGAAGTAGCACTGGCTTTCTGGGAGTATATAAAAATAAAACACTGTCATTTGCTGAAGTCTTTTAGTCTCACTGTACCACTGCAGAGAGAGCGTAAGTTTTGTTCTGCCTGCAGACACAGACATTTCTGCACTGGGTTGATTTTAGAGACAGAAACATCACACTAATAAGGAGAGAAACTACACTGGGTATGTATGTGTACAGGCACACACCCCAGCCCTCCAGTCTTGCCTTGGTAAGCAGATACGTCTTGTGCCAAAAATCCCTGGGATATGCAGGATGACAGTATTTTCCTCCCTCTTTAGTGGGATAACCAGCTCATTAAATCTTAACATGAAGGTTATTTTATTATGAACTGACAGATCTAAAGATTTACTTCCCTGTTCTTCACCTGCCTTCTCCCTTCTGCTTATTCCTCTGTATTTGTTAATGGCCTTTCTCTTGTTATATAATCCTGTCAAGAGTGTAAAAACGTCTCTCAGGACTGCTCATTTGGTCTAAATCATTCAGCCTGTACTGGTGACAAGAGAAAGTGTACATGCCACGGTTGATGCAGAGAAGGAGTTCTGTCCTATACTCCAGTAATTGTCACTGCATGATAAGAAAGTGTAAGATTTAATAAGGTCATAAAATAGAATGGCATGAGCTGGTGTGATAGGTATTTTTTTCATTAACATTCAGAAAATCCGGATTCAGTGGGACAATAAATTACAGCAATTGAGCAGAAATGGCCCATTTGATTATTCAACACTTTCCAGCAAACCAGTGAAAGCAGCAGGGCTGGGAGCACCTCCGCCATCACAACTGCAAAAGTAAGTATCTTCCGTAGTGTTAAAACCATTATTCCCTACGCCACCGCGCTGTCTCTGGTGATTGCAAGAACTAGAATGATGATCCAAAGCAGTAAGAAAACTGAGTCTTTGCAACTTGTTTAGTTTTGAATGTAATGACTGTAGTGAAACCAAATATTTCTAAAAAACATGATGTGCATCTGCTGTAAAGTGCTGAGTACTGACTATCGATTGTCGGGTTGTGGCAAGTTTCCAATGCAGATGCCTAAATCAACACTAGGGTAAAATAAAAATAATAACAAAAAGAAAAATAAAGACTCTTATGTGGATTTTTCCTTTCACACATTTCCAACTCAATAATACAGTCCCCCCAAAGACCTCCGTGTACCAATGCTGGAGGTTGCAAGACTGGAGTTAAAATTCTCAGCCAGAGCGGAAAAAAAGCTGAAGGACTGAAGACAGACGCACAGAAATTCCTAAGCAGAGACACCAAAAATCTATTACTGTTCATTGTGGCCACCTATATTGTACATATGTTATTGCCAGATATATTGTATTTAGTGGCCAGCCCTTCAGCTGACCACACTTGTCATGTTTATCCAAAGTCCTCCGTGTGTTTGCTCAGCGTGGTGTCGCTCAGCTCCCTTCCCCCTTGATTCTGCTGCATTGTAACTTCTGTTTCAGCAGCTGGCATTTACACTGTGCATAGATGTGATGCTACCATCCACACTCCCCCCTTCTCCTCCCTCCCCCAAAGAAAAGCAAGCCATTTAGAAAAGGCAGAACGAGCCCAGGATCACTCCTGCGCCTCAGTACCTTGTCCTCACCTTTTCACTCGGGTTTGCCACCAGCCATATGACTTTGCAAAGATTCAGCCACATGAAACGACTCATCAGATACCTGATTCTCTATTATCTGTTGTACTCTGCAAGAAGGACACA